CAAACAGTGGACTAAACATAAAGAAAGGGAGATGTGGTGTAAGCCCTATAGTTTTCCCATAAGGCATTGCTTTGAGCATGCTCGGTTTTTGGTTACTTGTAATATGGCGCCCGATTTGTAATAAATATTGTTCGTCCAGTTATCTGTCTAGTATTGACTCGTGTTTCAGCCATCCTAACACGACATGAACCGTCAAACGTTCTGTTGTCTTTGTAGAGTGTCTTTGTCAAAACATAATATTCTGTACGATGAAATATTAGCTATATGGTTGTTGCCATGGCAATTGTTATCATCTTGCTACAAATCTCGTAGAGGTCCACCAATAGTTCTTGCATATCTAGTATCAGGAAATAGTTCCTTTTGTACCCCCCATCCCTAACCCTAACTCTAACACTCACCCCCAGTTACCCAATTCATTTGTATATGCCCCCTCTAGATAACTATATATGTCCTTAGGAGGGGCATGTACAATTAAATGAAGAGTGCTGGAGGGTAGGGTTAGTGTTATGTTAATGGGAGAGTACAAACACTTTTCAAGTACTACATGTAGTATCAAAGCAATCAAGTTGGTAGTTTTCAAGAAGACAATAATATTATTTTTTGTTGAAAATCTAAAATAAATTTGTTAGAAATGAGAAATTGAAAATAGTTTCACAAATCAACAAATCTGACATTCCAGGTACCTACATACCTAGTATCACAATTGATCTAGTAATTTCAAGAAAAATACATACCAGGTTTCAATACAATTGAATGATTAGTTTTCAAGAAGAAGTCGAAAATACTCAAAATTGACAAAAATATTCACCAAAAAAGAGAATTGACAATATCGTCCCGAAGTGAACTAATCTGACAAGGCATCTATATGCTAGTATCAAGCATCAAGATAAATTTCAGTAAATATTTTTGAAATTTTTCTTGAAAACTACTGACGTTTAATTAGCTGATTTAGATTTAAAAATCAAATTAGACTTTTTTGGGTTTGAACAAAATAGTATTTTTCTCAATGTGGTACAAAATTGTGGCAATTATTCATTTATTTGAGTATTGTAGGGTGAATGTTTTGACTTGAAATATGGTAGTACAATAATATGAACACTAATAACTAAAAAAATAATATACATACGTATTTGCAAAATGTATTATTATATGAGTACCCACAGCGCCCAATACTAGTTAATACAAACTTGCATATTTTTAATTTTTCAAACTCTGAAGCTGATTTTTTTGAAGAGTTTTCACTGTTGTGGAACACTGCTATCATGCTATGTAATGTGCCTTGTCTCTGATTTCTCTTGTGTCAATGTAACACCCTGTTTCTATGGCCATATTAACTGTGTGTTGATTTTTAACAGAGAGTTGTTGTCGTGGAAGATATTTTGCGAATGAAAGCAGTTCTTGAATTGGAAAATCAGACTGAAGAAAATCTATTGAAAGCATTGCAAGAACTAAGACAAAAAACACCCTCTCGGGAAATTCTTTCATCAACAAAAATTGGTGAGTTTACATGGGTGAAATTTACTGTAATCAATTTATACTTAGGTTTTTGATTAAGGTATTTTGTGTTTATAAGTTTTCATGTTAGTTTTTGTGTAATATTTGACTCATGTATATGATAATCATTTAGAAATGTAAATAATGAATATTGTGTTAATTTCACTATTCAATTATTGTATATCATTCTGGTATGTCACTAGCAGTTTTTTAAAACAAGAACTAGCAAAATAGTAAAATTGAAATTAATTAAATTTCAGAAAGAAATCATACATTTACATGTTGGTTATTTTTTTACATTGTATGTATCTAGGCCATACATTGAATACAATCAGAAAACATTCAAGTAAAGAGGTCGCTGCTCTAGCCAAAGATATACGTAATGATTGGAAAAAGTTCATCAAAGACCGAAGTGATAAAGGCATCATTGAAGTGAGATCCGATGCAAAGACTGAGAAACAGAGATCTGCTGGGAAACGATTATTAGCTGGAGTGCTGGAAGTTGCAGTAAGTTTGTTTACAAATATATTATGATATGATGTGTTATTTAGTAAAGCTGAGATGCAATGTAAAGTAGATAACTTATCGGACATCCAGTTATTTATGTCACTCTGTCCATCGGTCAATGTAAATGCTGCACACACATATCACATGATCTCCAGAGAACTGATATAACTTGCGTAACAACACTTTCAATCACTTAATTGTGTTTATGATCAATAACTGTCTGTAAGTGACTCTTTGACTGCTGATCTCAGTGTTAATTAGTTCCCATTGGACAAACTATAGTCCAAAACAGGGACTTGTGTATTTTGGGTTCCAAAAACACCGTAAACATGTTATTAAGCCTTTCTCAGCTTGCTTTAGTGGATTTCATACAAAATTTTATTTACATCACTCTTGACGAATTACTTTTGCTATTCATTTTGTGTTGCGATGTGATTCAAAATGGCCAATTTCAATACACTGTCATGGATTTTGTTTGAATCAAATGGTCATTTTTGTCAAATAAAACATTTGAACATGTCATCTAATCGATTTTTTTTCAAACATGATATAAACTTGACATCACGCACAATGGTTTACTGATGCACATTTTTGTTGTGTGTGTGATTTGATTCAAAATGGCTGGTTGGTGGCCGTGTAGAGTTTTATTTTGATGTGTCATTTTTTAGACATGCCTTGATCGATCTTGTTCAAAGACATAATGGTATTCTATGCATAATTCTATGGTGGGCCTGATTTACGTCATTCAAACTTGGTATTGTCATTATTCATGGTGGTTTATTTGATTCAAAATTTGTGTCCTACATATACTCATAAAGTCATTTAAAAAAGCAAGACACAATAGTGTGAATATTTCTTGTCATCAGATTCAATTGAATGTCTATGTATATTCCCTAATACTTGAGTCCACTGCATTCTCAACCAGTGAAATGGACAAAATTCAAATGATTTTTTGCCAACAATACAATCAAACATATCCACTTTTATTTAGTTATTCATATCAGTGGCCATGTATTTATTTTTCAAAGATTTATTGTGACATTTATGTCCTGTTGTAGATATCTTGAATCCGCATAGATTCTACGCATTTTACAGTGGTGCTAGATACATATGATGGTTTGCCTTGCAACACAAGGGTTTAATTCCCAGTGGACTATACACTCAATGATAATAAATTTCATACAAACACCCAAAATGTCTTTTCAGTGAAAATTAATTCCAGCTAAAATATTTTACAGTACTTTCTGCCCAGACCACCAAACGCATGGTATTAGGTTTGGGAGAATGGTGTCAAATTGAATGGGATGATAAAAACTTTTGGTATTTTGGCATTGTTCCTGTCCTCAGTGCACCATGTAATTTATTGCAAAGAGTAGTACAGGGTGATAACTCCTATCTCTTATGTCAGTTCGCGAAAAAGCTGAGGCTCTCAGAGCAATAAAAAATGTTAACACCTTTCTGTAATGTTTAGTAAAAAAATTAACCTTTTTTTTAGCTCCGCTGTCGACTTTGTCGAGCAGAGCTTATCATATGAGTGATTGTCCGTCGTCGTCCGTGTCAATGTTTTACTTTTTTGACTTCTTCTTGAAAACTACAAGCCTGAATTGATACTTTGATACTTGGTGTATATGTACCTTGGGTAGACCTCTCTCAGATTTGTTCATTTTGTAATGATATCTTTAATTCTCTAATTTTGGTGAATATTTTTGTCATTTTTAGTAAAAAGTGATATTTTCGACTTCTTGTTAAAAACCGCAAGTCCAATTGCTTTGATATTACATATATAGGTACTACATGTGGAACTCTCTCAGATTTGTTCATTTTGTAATGATATCTTTAGTTCTCTAATTTTGGTGAATATTTTTATCATTTTTAGTAAAAAGTGAT